AGTGCTGACTGATAGCCCTGTAGAATAAGTCCCCAGTTTAGCCACATGGCCCTGAGTGTGCACCACCCCTAGCCAACATACCGCAAGCCTGATTTAGATGGACACCCTCCAGGAGACAAAGAAACCAGGAGTTCATGGCCCATTCCTGCGCGCGCCCCTAGAAGCTTGGCTAGCTCAGTCAGCAGTGACTCAGAGTCCTTATTCAGACTGGAGGTTTTCAATTTGCTCTTTACGTGGAAAGCTAAATTAATCCCTGTGGTATCCTCACTCATTTAAGGCTCCCTCATCCAGGGAAGTCATATGGCCTGCGACAGACAGGAGATCAGAGCAAGTGATCACAAGGGTCCTTGCTGGCTTTATAATCTAGCAATGTCACTCAAGAGAGGGCAGATTACAGTGGGCTCTCCACTGCAGACAGCTCCCAGTGAAGGGAGAAGAAGGGAAGCCACTTGGACAGGCACTCAGTGTTCAGCCACAAAGCTGAACCAGGACGTTTAGATTTCAGACAGCCAAGATTCCAACAAAGGGATGGTCCATTTTCATCCTGCACAGGCCAATCAGCATGCTGAAACTCAGTACAGAACAGGGCTCCATAGTCTCCTTTCCAACACACTAGGACCAAACCATCAACAGTCTGTGGGCACTGGAAAGGCCTCCACTAAGAGGCTGCTTTTCAGCAGCAGTAAGCACCCCTTAAGCGAATGGGAGCAGTGGCTCGGAACCCCTGGGAAAAAAAAAAAAACAGGTCCTAAATCTTCTTCCTTTTTGTACACATGATGAAACAATGTAACAGCCAGATTTTGGGGGGGGGGGGGAGGGGTACATGGTGCAAGCATGACTGACCTTAGCTGCACCTCGCTCCCCCTCCCACCTCAGGCAGCCCCAAGAACTCAGTGGAGCACAACCGCATGGCACTCCAACAGCAACGTAAAGGGCCCAGGGCTCCAGTGGCCATTACTCTTGCAGTGGCTGGAATCCCCAGGCCCTTTTGAATCACAAGACCCCAGACAACTGTCCCTTTTGCCTTCCCTGTCGGTGGGCCTATTGGTGTGCAACAGTTTAGGATAACAAACAACCCTCACCCTCAAAAGGTCATTCTAGCTGCAGCCATGTCAAGGTTCTGACTACAGCATTGCAGCTAGAACAATCCTGATCTTGGCCAGATAGGACCCGGACCACTACAATCCGACGTGAACCTGAACTCAACAACATTTAAATTACAAAGGGGTAGGAACTGGCACACAAAACGCACAGTACACTTTTGAGCACTTGTATAAACAAACAGTACTATATGGCTGTTGGCCTCATATCAATTAGTAAGTGGGGTTGGCCGAACACCTAGTGGATATGCAATTAGACAGGCTTTGACTAAAGGGCACAGCAGCAAAGCCATCAAAGATGGAATAGTCATGGAGACTTGAGTTTATCAGTAAAGGACACACCTTTGCTGAAATGAACATAACAACCACACTGGTTCAAACCAACAGTCCATCGAGCTCTATTATCCCATCTTTCGACAGTGACCAGTGCCAGATGATTCAATGGGAATGAAGAGAACAGGATAATTATCAAGTGAGCCATTCCCCATTGGTTAGTCTCAGCTTCTGACATCCAGAGGGTTAGGAATACCCTAAGCATCAGGCTGCATCCCTTATTTCCTGTAAACTGTGAACTTGTGCAGCTGCTCAGGAGAAATTCAATTGTCCCTCAGCTGATTAACAGAGCGCCCACAGCTATGCTTGGTTTCTAGTGGTGGTGCACATTTGCACATGCCCAGTGCACATAAAACATGGATGGAAAAAGAGTAGAAGGAACATTGGTTGCATCCCTGAGCATTTTAGCTAATAGCCATTGATAGACCTAGCCTCCATGAACTTACCTAATTCTTTTCTGAACCTTGTTACACTTTTGGCCTTTACAACACCTCCTGGCAACAAGTGCCACTGGTTGACGGTGCATTGAATGAAGCAATACTTCCTTTTCTTTGTTTAAAACTGCTGTTGCCATGCCTCTTAATTTCATTGGGTGACCCCTGGTTCTTGTGTGATGAGACTGAGTAAATAACACTTCCTTATTCACTTTCTCTGTATCAGTCATGATTTTATAGACCTCTAACATCTCTCTCCTTAGCAGTCTCTTTTTTTAAAAGCCAAACAGTCTGAGCCCTTTTAAATCTCTCCTCACATGGAAGTTGCTCCATCCTTCAATTATTTTTGTTGCCCATCTTGGCACCTTTTTCAATTTTCTTTTTTTTGAGATGGTGTAACCAGAAATACAGAGGGTATTCAAGGTATGGGCATACTATAGATTTATAAGTGGCATTATTATATTTTGTCTTATCCTAATGGTTCCTAATAGCATTAACATTTTTGACTGCTGCTTTATACCAAGCAGAGTTACTGAGAACTATCCCTGATCACTCCAAGATCTCTTTTGAGCGGTACCAGCTAATTTAGAACCCATGATTTTGTATTCATAGGGGCACTGGGAGGGACAGAGTCAGAAAATAAAATAGCTGTGTTTGTCCCCCGACTCTCCTCGCAAAAATAAAAATCCCTTCCTCAATACTAATACATAGCTCTCATATACAACTTTCTATCTATAGATCTCAAGGCATACAGGTATCAGGAATATCCTTTGCAAAGAGCAGTAGTTAGCTCTTAAAAAGAAAACGCACTTTACTACCTCTTATGGAATGTCAAGACTCAGTTAAGAGAGACAAAGTGGATGAGGTAATCTTTTATTGGACTAACTTCTATTGGTAAGAGGAAAATGGTTTCTAGATTCACAGAGCTCTTTTGTCTTGAAGAAGAGCTCTGGGTAGCTCAAAAGCGTATTCTCCCCTCTTCCCCCGCCCCCCAACTGAAGTTGGTCCAATAAAAAGTATCACCTTACCCACCTTGCCTCTTCAGTATCCTGGGTCCAACATGGCTACAACAACACTGCACAGACTGAGTTTAGTCTTACAGTTCTAATTTTGTTACTTGAGTAACCATTATACAGCCCTTCTGACCATCACATTTAAGAGCCTCAAACATTACTTGTCTTCAACATATGGTGGGCTAGGATGTGTAATTCCCTACATTGGGAATGGGAAACTGAGGCCCAAAGAGATTAGGGGAATTGCCCAAGGACACGTCAGAAATCTGTGGGGGGACAAGAACTGAACTCATATCTCCGAAGGCACTAGCCCAGGACTGAATTATGTTCTCAAGTAAGCACAATTTAGCTTGAAATGTTCACAAAATACCTTTTACCTGTTATTCTTTAGTAGTAGTTTTCACCTAGAACCACCAAACTGTGCATATCTGTCACATAGCCAGCCACTCCTCAGAAATGAAACCCCATAAGGTGGCAGTGAAACAACAAACATTACGTGCCCTATCCAAGGCAGACTACAAGCTACCTGCGGGAACCTGTCATTCTACAGTGAGCCTCACTCATCACTAACTGTGTGGTTTGCCAGTGATTAAAATACAAGTGAATTAGTGTCTTGAGCAAACAATGCAAAAAATGTAAATCAGTTACCTATTTAGACAGGGAAACTTGGAGGTTGCACTGCAAAATGTTCGCTAGAGAATCAGGATTGCTTACTGGAGGTGGATCTCAGAACAGGTTTGGATCTGTGGGCTACACATAATTCTTAAAAAGCTGTTGAATACATTTGAATATACAGCAGACCCTAAATGCACTGGACCAAAAACAAAAAACAAGAAATCAGGTTTTTTGTTTTTTATCAAAACATCCTAGAAATGAATAATAACTGGCTTAAAAAAAAAAAAAACACAACACACCAGTTGGAGGCAAGTCTGAGGCAAATGTTCTGTGTGCTGAGAAATCTGCATGTTAACATGTTCTGCTGTCACCCTATTTGAAATCGGGGTGTACTTGAACATGTAGGAAGCTGCCTCCATGACCACAAATTGCCACAACACAGCAAGAGCCGGATGTGCTGGTGGTAGCAGAAAAATATCTTGAACAACAGATGAGCACGGCAATTACGATCCCCGTCACAACAGCAGCAGCACGGGAGCAGAATGACAAGTCACCTGGACTCTGGCAGTATTGAAGGAACGGCGCTAAAAATAAACAATCAATGAACTGAGAGGGCTGCTTATCTCCCAGCAGCCACACACTCCTTTCACACCTCTCCCTAGCCAGGCAGTAAGCAGCCCCCTACCCAACAGCACTAACGGGTCTTTCATAACCAGGGTATGAAGGGGGTGTGTCCTCGGTCCAGGCACAAGAAGAAAGAACAGGGTGGGCACTGGACACACACCTGGCAGACAGAGGGGTGCTTTCCCCTGTGGTATTTCACACCCAGAAGATGGGGCAAGCAGGGATATGTGGGGCAAGGGAAGTTGGTCTCTTTCCTCGATACTTGGGGGAGGGAACAGTTTAGGTTTCACCTTGCTCAGCAAGGGGTGGTTCCCATGGGGATGGATGGATGGCTGCTCGGTGTGTATGGGGGTGGTGGTTCCCTTGCTGCTTCCTCTGGGCTCAGAAGCAGACAAAGGTGCCCAAGCAGGTAATGGGGTTCAGCTGGGCCCCCACTCCAGGGGAGGCTGGTATCCTACAGAGCCCACCACGCGATAGGAGGGCCCAGAGGTTACCCCAAGGGGCCGGCTGCTGCGAAGCTGAGCAGAGTCCAGGGGACATGGAAGCGCAAAAGGTGGCAGCCCCGGTGGGAGGAAACGGGCCAGCAGGGCAGAGGCCCCGCCCAAGCAGGTAATGGGGTTCAGCTGGGCCCCCACTCCAGGGGAGGCTGGTATCCTACAGAGCCCACCACGCGATAGGAGGGCCCAGAGGTTACCCCAAGGGGCCGGCTGCTGCGAAGCTGAGCAGAGTCCAGGGGACATGGAAGCGCAAAAGGTGGCAGCCCCGGTGGGAGGAAACGGGCCAGCAGGGCAGAGGCCCCCGTTAGAAAGGAGACGCGGGACACGGGGGTCTCTGGGGGGAGGGGAGACAGGGGTCCGGTCCGCGCCCCGCCAGCCTCTCACCTGGGCACGCAGCTGGGCGAGCTCCGATCCACCTCCCAGGTCGCGTACAGGCTCATCTGCA